GGGACCCACTCACTCTGCCCAGGTTGGTGGTTCCCCACGGGAGCTGGCCTGTGAGCTGGATTTGGACTTGGGGCAGAAGATCCCAAAGCCAAAGCCAGAGAAGGGCACTCCAGCTAGCAGGGGTGGCGGGACAGAGGCACGGTGCCCTGAGAGAGTTGTTTCTGTCCCAGCCAGCCCTCTGGTCTCCCTCCCCGCCCGACAGCTCTCTTTGAAGAAGTATTCTTAGATCCTGCGTCTTCACCTCCTGCCTGCACTCCTGAGGGACCACAGAAGAAGGTAGGTGTCTGCCCATGCATCTGTCCACAAACACATCCATCCTTCTCTCCACCTGCTTGATCCACTCATTCGTCCCCTCGACCTTTCAGCTCCTCCCCCACTCACCTGTCCATCCATCATGCTTCTCCTCATCCTTCCAGAGACTCATCCACCATCTGTGCCCTCACCTGCCTGCCCGTCCTTTGAACACTCCCTGCTGGCCACCAGGCGCCCTGCTGTGTGCTGGGCCCTTTGAATGAACCAGACACAAAGGATAAAAGCTGAAAGCTGCCAAGTGCCCAGAAAAGACCCCACATAATTTTATGACTGCTCTATGAGTCAGGCTCTCTTGTGACCCCATTTGACAGATGAGGAAATTGAAAACAGCAGGTGACCCCCAGGATCCTCAGTTGGAAAGAGCGTCCTTCCCAGGCCTCGGGGCTGATTTCCGTAGCACCGTCTGCTCCAGCAGTTCAACGTCTGACTGCCAGAGGGGCAGCCCCAGCTCCGGTCCCCAGTGTGTGGCCCCCTCCAGTGGGTGGGAAGGTGGCCCCCTGCCTCAATGAACAGCTGAATCTGCTGTAGAAACAGAAATAGACACCTTTAGCGGAGCTCTTGGAAGTGCAGCCACTGCACCAAGTGCCTCTCGGCCTTGCAGAGGATGTGTAGTGACACCATCTGTGCATGAAACTGAGGCTCAGAGGAGTTAAGACTTGCCCGGGGCGTCACGGCTACTTCGCAAGGTGGTAAACTGATGGGATTGAGAGAGAGTGCCCCAGAATAAGAGGCAGAAGACCCCCATCCACCTCCTCTCTGACCCCCTGTGGGAACTGGGGAAACTTAGCTTGAATTTCTCAGGAGGCGTCTGGAGGCTGTTTTGAGCCTGAGCTGTTTGTGATGATGCTCGTGTGACCTCCTAGGAAAGCAGTGAGTGGGGGCCATGAAGGGACAGCACTGCCCCCCTCCGTCTCCTCCCATCTTTCTCCTTCACCCCCCAGGACACACCCCCTGAGGCCCCCGAAGACCTTCCTGACTCGCACAGCCGGTGCCAGTCCTTGGTCTCGCTGGACCACTGCTACCTGTTGCTGCGTGAGAACAGCAAGGTGCCGTGTAGCCCCAGCTCGGAGGACACGGACACAGACTCGGCGTGGAGGCAGCAGGAGGTGAGGGAGACAGAAAGCCATCCGCCTGGTCAGTCCGCGTCTCCTTCCCGCCCTCACCTCTCTGTCTCCCACCCAGGATGTTCAGGCCAACCTCGAGGGCCTGCAGTCCTCCAGCGATGAGGATGAGAACTATACGTGGACCCCCACCCAGCCGGCCTCAGCCCTGCCCGCAGCCGGGAGGGAGGCCAGGAAGGGCAGGGCAGGCAGGGGCCTTGTGAAGCCCAAGGAGAGCAAGCAAACCCCCTGCCCCACCCAGATGAAGAAGAAGTGTGTCAACGGCTTCATCATGTTCTGCAGGATGAACCGGAAGCAGTACATCAGGTGGGAGGGCGTCCTCTTCGGCCCTGATTGGGGCCCTACCTCACTGTCCATCCACCCGCAGAGCATGCCACCCACTGCTGACGACACATTCCTCAGCCACGCTCTCCCGGCCTCCCCCTGGCCCCGTGGCACTGGTCAGGGCCTGTGCACTGCAAGCAGTGAAACTCAGCTCAGACTTAGGAAAAAAAGGAAACTAACTGGCTTGAATTAATTAATATCATTAATTAAATTTATATAACCTGAAAAAAGAGGAGCCACCTTCAGACGTGGTTGGTCCTTGGGTTCAAAGGACGCTGCCCGGGATCCTTGTCCCCCTCCACTCCACGCTCTGGGTTGGCTTTGTGCTCCATCACGCTGGGCTGGGCTGGGGCAGGCTCTCCCGCAGGAGCTTCAGGATCGTGTCCTGTCTCCCGCCCCAGCAACCCTGTGGGAAGAGAGCTCCTCGTTTCTAAGATTTCAAGCAAAAGTTCTTGGGGCCGACTTGACATGATCTATCAGGCGCCTAGCCCTGAACCGATCTTGCCAGCCTGCAGCCTCCGTGGAGAAGAGGTGGTGCTGGTATCGGAGTGGCGGATACAGGTCCCAGGACACGGGGTGGCCCCTTTCCAACCACCATTTAGTCCAGCTCCCTTCTTTGCCACCTCTGCTCCAGGGGGCGCGAAAGGGGGCATCTTTCAGGGCAACACGGAAAGATCCGAGTTCTCAGATTTGGAAAGCTGTGGCTCTGAGAGGGCCAGGGACCCTCGTATGGTCACACCGTTGGCCTTGGCCCAAGCCAGGCGAGTCTGCAGGCCTCTCCTCACCTCCTCCTCCCTCCTGCCCCAGAGCCTGCCCTGGGACCGCATCCACGACCGCCACCAAGGAGCTGGCCCAACTCTGGCGGGTGATGACCCTGAAGGAGCGGAGACCATATTGGTGAGAAGCCCCTGCCCAGAAGGTGTGGGTGACGGAGGCGAGGCCCCTGCTTCTCATCCTGCTCTGATTTTCAGAGCCTTGAGCTCTGTGATGTTGGAAACAGGTTGGGAGTTTCCTCGGGCAGGAGATTTGGGTGTCACGAGCTCTTATGAAAGAGTTGGGGTGACAGAAGCAGAGCGGCACTCTACCCGTGCCTGTAACTTCGAAGGGCAAACAGCTTAATTCTGGATTTGGACCCCACTGCCCTAAATTTCCTTTGCCCTCTCTGCCACAGGGAGTTTCTCAGAGCAGAAAACTGGGTCTTAACTTCCCTGTCGCTTGGTCTTCTCCTTCTCTTCCCCTCTTGATGCCCCCTCCCTCCCGAAACCCTCTCCTCTCCACCTTCCCAGCTTGCAACTGGCCCCGGAAACACACGTGCACGTGCACGTGTGCAGATGGTGACAGGTCCTCCCGGGAGCCAGTGGCTCCCCCGCTGGGGCCAAATAAAGCCCCGGACGCCCGCTCAGCCCAGGCCCTGGTCACTGCTGGGGCCAGAGCACTGGGGGTGGGACAGAGATGGCCGGGAGGCGACCAAGGAACCCCGCCCATCCTGCCACCTCTCCCCCAGCACCAAAGCGCGCAGGTTCAGCCGCCGGCACAACCGGATCGTGAAGAAGGGCAGCTCCAGCAGCGAGGACGAGGACTGGGAGAACCCCAAGCCCTTCTACCAGCTGCTGGCTGAGAAGGCCCGCTGCTCCGCAAGCCCCGCCTTTCCGCCGCCCCCTCACCGCGCGTGAGGGCAGCCTCACCCCCCCCCCCCCCCCC